CAGTTATTTAAATGAAACCATCTGCAAAGTTTAGAGAGGAAATGACTCTTTGCTAACAGCTCGTTGACTTGTGAAAGATGTAACAAAGGGCCTCAATAGACTATTCTGTAAGGGGTCATGAGTCAAAAAGATTGGGAGCCAGTAGTTTAATATTTAACAATGCTTTGCATTTTATGAGGTTATCCAGTGTCTTCATGTAATCTGAAACTGAACAAGTAACTCTAGCTGTCAAATTAATGTAATGGAGCAAAAAATACAGTATATATCTCTAAAATGTGGCAGAGTAGAAGTATAAAGTAGTATGAAATGGATGTCAGAATTGTACTTAAGTGCAGTATATGAGTAAATGATTGATTCTCCTAAAACCAGCCAACCCTATCCACCATATTGTGATCAAAATTTAAAATCTACTCATTCACTCCATTGGTTAAAAATAGATAGAATAGAAAAAAGACCACTACTGCATTTTGAAGCTATCAGCAAAATACATCACACATAAACTGTAGTCTCTAAGGCCATGTTATTAATTCATGGGTAGGTGTTTTCAGATGTGCATATAAAGGAGAAATGAAGAGTTCAAAGAAACAAATACAAATTTAATTCATCGTGGAAAAATAATCACACTTTTCTCCCTGATAGATTCAAAGAGGAAGGGTTTGCCTTCTGCACAGTGTGTCGACTTGATGAAAATGGTGTTTGTCACCACAGAGAAAGAGAACAGTGTATATATACATATATATATAAATATTTGGAGGAGGAGACATCAGGGTATCAGAGGCAGGGAAAAGATGATCTTTGCTGTACACACACTGTTATTTTATACATGAAAAGGTTGCAGAATGGCTTCTCAAGTCATTTACAGGGAAACTAGAAAGTGCAGTGCATTTGCAGCCTGAGTGCTGAACTGATGTTGCACTTTCCCTCCATCCCTGTGAGGTCTAATAACTAGCAATCAGGCAGAGATGAAAGTTCAGTTTTAACATGACTTATGCTAATTTGCTGCTGTTGTAAACCTTTTAGGAAGGAGTCATCTTGCGGGTATTAGTACAAGACAGAGTGTAGACCAACATGCTTGGAAATCCTAACCTTTTCCACGTCGTTAGGGTCCATAATGAATTCAACCTATCCACCATGCAGCTCTTATTTCAGTAAGAAATTCAGCTTGTTTTACTCGCTCATTTGTTATTCCAAGGCAGGAAAAATCAATTTTAGGGGGGGAAGATTTCCTTGAAATAAAAGCTCGGATGGCATGTTAAATTTATTAGCGTGCTCACACAGCTGGAAAATGCTCTTTTCTTCATGTCTGGTATGTGTAATATGCAGGATAAAAACATAAAAAGAGATCTTTGACAATGACCACGTACTTATGTCTCAGAAATGGAGAACAGAGAGCATGAAGCTCTGCTGAGTCTATCCCTTTCTCAATGTCGCTTTGCCATTTACAGTTGCATCATCGTGCATGGGCGAATGCGTGTGCGCTTGCATAAGTGTGTGTCAGTGCGTGCGGATGTAGGTGTGTGTCTGCGAGTGTGTGTTTGTACGAGTGCGTGGGTGTTTTCTATGGGTCTGTGTGTGCTTGTGGATGTGGCTATATGCTTTTGTGTGTCTAGATGGCCTAAGGACAGATGTGGGTGCCCGGCATTTCAAGAACCGAATGTCAAAGACCTTTAGTTCTGTATCTGATGCGAGTGTCGTGTGCAGGGAATCGAGTCAAGTCATGAATAAATGAAGTGACAGGGAGAAGAAGAAGAGAGCGAGGGGGAGACAGAGAAACATGGTGAGAAAAAGGTCTGACGATATTCCTTCAGAAAAAAAACATATTTCTCAAAAGATGTCAACAACCGACAGCTGCAGGAGAGTTTATGTTTTGCAGATTGGAGCTTTACTTGTGCAAACAGAGAAAATAGGATAGAAAAGTTTTTACTGGCACTGGATCAAAAACTTCAACAGAGGGAAGATTTATAACTCTAGTTTCCACATGAAGTATTTTATACATGACGGATCCAAGTAATAATTTTGACGTCTAGATTTACTGATTACTCGTTTAGTCGATAATATGTCAAAAAAATACTGAAAAAAAATGTCCATCATAAATTCCCAGGGCCCAATGACATATTCAGTTGTCCGTCCAAAACACAAAGATTTTCAGTTTACTATAATGGAAGACTAAGAAAATAAAAATGATCACATTTGGAAACCAGAACCAGTTAATTTTTGGCCTTTTTTACTTATTATTTGTATTTCCATTCTTATTTTTATTTTTCATACTTCTATACTTATTTATTTGTTATTTTTCTCTATTTATCTGTACTTGCTGTCTCCGTGCAGCTGCAAGACATGAATTCCCCTACTGGGGATCAATAAAGGCTTATCTGAAACAATTAATCAATGATTATTGTTGAAAATATTTGCCTAAAACATTGCCATAAAATGACCATAAATATTCAGATTTAAAAACATGCACCTACCTTGCTGGCAGTTATATCTACATAAAATACAATATTAACACCGATACGATGAATTCAACTCTTTTACAAAGAGCAATGCACTGTTTGGCTGTATCTGGTTTCAATTGTTCATGAAGCGCTGCAAATATAAAACAAAAGGTTGCTCATTTCGGATGGTCTGAGGTGATTACAATGCTCCAAAGTCAGAATAATGGGAGTTTTTTTCCTGTTCTTACAATTGTGAGATTGTGAATGCAGCCCAATTATACCTCTATTAGTGCAGCCTTTAATGGGCCTTTTTCATTAAAGACATTTTGACATGTCACAGTAGGAAAAGCACAGGTGTAAATAATAAAAGTAATGATGTCTGAATACCAGAGCCATTATTAATGTCATTAATAACACCTGTGCTTTTCTTTCTATGACACATACTATAGTTACTCTGCGCTATAAATCCAATCTGTTAACTCACCTCCTCTGTGTACAAGTGAAACAAAGAGCTTCTCTGAGAACGTGACAGACAGTGAACACATTACCTGTCCAGCCAGGCTAGCAGGCTCTTGGCGGCGGTGATGAGGTCGACCACGGAGGTCAGAAGATCGTTGGGGAGCCGCCGCGAGGACCTGCTCTCCGATTGGCTGCTGCGACGGCGGCCGGAAATGAAGTTCTGCAGGTTTTTGGCCGAGGCGCCGAGTTTGTGAGCCAGAGTCCTGACGCTCTCCGTCTCCAGACCTGAGTTCTACACACACACACACACGCACAGACATAAACAAAGATCAGCTGAACCTCCAGACAGTGAACCGCCATGAATACAGATTAGAATCTTATTTGTCAACATGTTTACCAGTTCTTCTTAAGGAGTCTGGTGCATATTAATGACTTATGTTACCCATCTGGTACAGAGAAGGTCATCACACTGTTTCTGTATTTAAACACCTTTAAATCTTTATTTATTCATACTTACAGCCAACCTCTACCATACAATAATGACAAAACAATGGAGGACGATGCAACATAAATTAAACAACTTCTTCAAGAAGGCACCGATAGTTCACATGCACTCACTTTTGGCTTATCCAAATGTAATAACAAATTATTGCAGGTTGTCAGTCTAGGGTGTAAATAAAGAATTTTAGTTGTATTGTTTTGTTTTTGAACACAACAAAACATAGTTTAACAAACGGTCGGTCACCTATGCATTCATACGGATGTTATAGTAGTGATGGAAAGTTATAATAAAAGAAAAAAAAATCCATATATAATTATATTTTATTGTATACGAAATTTGGGCATATGTTTACAGCCGGATGCATGAGAGTTATAGAACAGGGCTGGAAACTGACTTTTTCACCACATTCCCAAAACTCAGACAGCAGCCACACAGATAAGGCTGCCTGCCGATGTGTTTGAAGACATTTTTTTTTGTTTATCTGCATCATGAGCACAGACATCAGCCGATGCCGTTTATCTCAAAAAGCTAGACAATCGGCCCGACTGACTGATTAATCAGTCTATCCATCCAGTCAGTCTTTGTTTAATAGGTATTTGTTTTTTGATTGATCTGGCAAAACCACAAACACTTACCAAGTGCAATTTTGTAACTTTTTTTCTTATTTTGTGTTTGTGACAATTGGGAGATGCAATGATGCAGCGCGCTGACAATTTACTTTCTGCAATCTATTAACATTGTGCATCCAAGCAGAACATGACTACATTAACAGCTGCAGCTGAAAAGATGGCTGAACTGCACTGAAACTACAGAACAAACACACACACGCACGCACGCAACACACACACAACAACACACACACACACACAACACCACACAACATTAATACACACTCACCAGAGCACAGAGCAAGTCCACAGCCTCCAGAATGAGCTCCTGGTGTCCGATGCGAGAGACTCCCAGCTCCTCCAGCTCGGCGTGGCTAATCCTCAGCAGCCTCTCCCCGCACACACCTCCGCGCTCAAACACACACACATATTGCTGCAAGCAGTCGTCCAGACCTGCAGCAAACACACATATTATTAGAGTTACTCACAATAAATACACTCAGATTTGTTCCAAAATGAGATCACGACCGTAGTGAAGATAAATAAATCTTTTTTTTCTTCTTAGGGACTGAGAAGAAAACGTGATGTTTGTTGTTGATGAAAATATTTCTTCCTCAGTTGACACCACATTTTTTATTATTTGCCATGATGCTTTATCATCCGGATTTGCATTGCAGTACTTCTATATATATTGTGTCTATAATTTAGTCCTCAAATCCTCAACAGTTGAAAAAAAAACACATAAGTGTCAAAGGAAAATGGAAGTTGCTGTTTTTTAGTTTACTAGAAACATTTTTTTTGGCATTGGAAAACACATTATTCACTTCTTTTGAGAAAATAAGACTTTAAACCCACATAAACCTATGTTTATCGGACAATCTGGGCCAGTAGGAATAGGCCGTGATCACCTTTTAACTTGACTAACAATTAGTCACTTATGTACAGATCCAGCAGACACAGAGCAACAATAGCATTCATAAGGAGTCGTGTTTCTGGCCTTCTGACGAATATAATTCCACTACTGTCTCTCCTTTTAGCTCTTTGGGTCTCCATCAACTCCTGGTAGGAATGTATAACTAGCTGCTAAATGTTGCATTGCATTACATACATATCATATCATATTCATTAGAACAGCTTTAAGGACTCAATTTTAAACAGAAATGACATAAGAAGGTCATTTTGTTTTTTATCTGGTCTAAATTTTGAAGTAAGTAAATACTGTATCTTATATGGTCTTTCACTGAGACTACAATTTCATCTACTCTTCTGAAACACTGTCATACTGCTACAGCGTGGTTACATCGTTGGTTGAAGGTGTCTATACCTACTATACTGCCTGTAATCATATCTGCTCTATGGCAATTATGAGAACACACGAGGTAGATAGAAATTATGGGCCTGAGGCACAGGAGGGGAATCTCATCCCAACACCACCATCACTCCTCATGACCCATCCACACTTAAAACGCTCTTCAATACATTTGCTCCCTGATCAATGACCAGTAACGTCCCTACTTGAAATTATAGGTATCAGGCTGCACTCCAGAAGCACTAATCAGCTTTCGTTGCCACACTTTTCACCGGCGCTTTCTTTTCTTCAAAGTCAGCCTATAGGGAGGACAGATTTATTTTATTCTGCACAGGAAAATGTTAGACACATTTTTACGTATCCCTGTTTGTCTCAGATAATACAGCAGCGGCTGTTTCATGTTTTTGAGACATTTCAGCCTGTTAGCAGTTTTGTAGATTTTTGCCCGACGCCGTTTCAAAACCACATTAGGATGAGGTAACAGTAAAGTGCAGTTTGTTTTGAAAGAAACAGGAGGGCCACAAGAGGCCTTTTAGGTCTCGTTTTTATTTTTATTTTTAACGTAAGGCAGAAAACATTTTGTTCCACTGTATTTATGAGCTCAATGTGTGACTTTGAGACCTGTTTCACCATGAAACTAGAGCAAATAGAGACAGAGAAAGGAAGTCAGACATTGCCTGTTTTTCTCTCCCACAATGCTAAAGGGACTGATGAAGATAATCAACCATATTTGGACTTCATGGCCAAAAAGCTTTTCAACCCACAATTATACCAAAGCTCTCAACATCACTTTAGAGGACCATGCCAGTGTGATTGCACATTTTAGCAAATAACTGCAAATCATGTATTCACAACATTTTCGCTGACCATTTTCAAATGGTTTTTATGTGTACAGATTTTCTAACAGCATATTCGTTTGACAGTGCAGTTCCAGACATCAATAGGTTTCCATTCATTTCTCTAAAGCTTGAAAATCAACTTATCTTGTAATCCATTACAGTAAACATCTAGTCTGCACTAAATCTTGCATTGTCATTGCAAGGTAATTGAGATGTCTGCATTGCATCACCCTCTAACAACAATGCAAGTAAACTGTGATGGATTACATAATTTAAGTAAGTCTGGTCTTTGGAATGGAAAGACAACATTGTTTGTCAGAGCCAGACCAATATATCGGTCAGGCTATTGCAGACAGTATCTGTATTGGTGTATATGTTATCAGATATACGCTGATATTTTCCTGTATATCTGGTATAACTGTAAAATGTATCCAGCAGAGTACAATGTGATTTACAAAACATGTTAAAGAATATTTAACTTAAATATTCAATAAAAAGGTATCCAAGAGGGACAATAAAGCTATCCATACTAATAAGCATAGCCGTCAGCTTATTGGCTTAGTTCGATTGCTAACACGCATAACTTCACAGTTTATTCAAATCTGTGCCATTTACTCCTGTCTCAAACCATTGCCCTTTTGCAGAACAGTTACGCTGACGGAGGTGAGTAATTCATTGTGCAACACAGCTAACAAGCTACAGTAGCTTCCTCCATTTTAGACTCTCTGTCTCTCCTTCCCAGCACCCCTCGAGACAGCTTGATTTTGGTCAACGTGGGGCGAATTCGCGGGTCGCCAAAGTTTCACTCAACTTGAAAGATTTGTGCAACTTTGCTCTTTAAAGGTCGTGAAACAAACTGTACCTAAAACAAGAGTCGGGAGACTGGGACAAAGGAGGAAATGGATGGGCAATCAGGCAGCCACCCAGGTAAAACTTTACTCTCTGTTGGATTGTGTAACGTCTGTGTTGTGAGTGGGACGGTCTCTCTAGATCTGCGAGTGCGTGAGCGTGCAAGTGGGCGGGTGCGTGCATTGTTACTCTGTGTGTGTAAGTGTGTGTGTGCGCGTGTGTGTGTGTGTGTGTGTGTTTGTGTCGTCTGGCCTGGCCGAGTTTGCTGAGTCAAAGGAAAGCAGATCAAGACAGAGCGGCTCAGCTGCAGCCCCTGGCTCCCAAAACAATGAATGTATCCAGCTTCTAACCTCTTAACAAACAGCCAACTAGCAAACACACACTCCAAACACACACACACACACACACACACACCTCTGAGGAATGAGCATTGATTTCCCCCGCTTCAAGTCCCCGCTTTATAATACACTCATCTATCATAACCACACTAACAAAGATGGGAGGGGAAAAAAACAGGATGGGAAGAGTGCGGAGGAAGAGAAGGAGAGAAAAAAGGAAGAAGGCAAAGAGGAAAAGAAAAAAAACTCATAAGCCAGCTGCTAAACAGCATGCAAACTATTTAACACACGCTCACACATCCTACACACACACACACGCACACACAAATTCCATCTCTCATCAGCGACGAGCAACAGCATTTGTCGCTTTTTGCACCCTCCCATCACTTCATCTCCTCCCTCAGCCACTACATCTGAAGTCTAGATGAAGCGTTCAGTTCCAAAATGCCATGATATATCGAGCTTGGAAAATAAGTAGATAGAGCCTGAAATGCATGAAAAATAAAAAAATGCATAATTTAATCTTTTAAAACGTAAATAAACAAAGCTTTTATGGTCTGGAAATGAAGAACTAGCAATCAATTTTGAAGATGAGGCATCGTCTTTTCACCATTATCTCATTTTGGAAGACAACTAGACAAATTGATTCCACTATCTGGACCCCCAAACACTTCAAGTCGATGAATGATATCTAGGCTCACAGCTTCCACTGACAAGCATGAAAGGGTTTGATAAGAATAAAGACATCAAATCGCTCACACTTGATTTGTGTGACTTCCGGCTTTAATGTTAATGAAGGTCATTTAGGGACACTTAAGGTTCGGAGAAGCTGGAATGGTAAATGGACTGTACTTGTATAGAGCCTTTCTCTTCTTCCACATTCACCCATTCACAGACATTCATTCACTGATTGCAAAGCCACTAATTTGGGGTGCAGTATCTTGCTCAAGGACACTTTGACGTACAGAGGGAGGAGCCGGGGATCGAACCACCAACCTTCTGATTTGTGGACGAACCGCTCTACCTCCTGAGCACACAGCCACAGCCGTCCCACAGCAAAGGAAGCAGAGGGAAACAGCTGACCTGGCATTGTCTTAAGTTCAGAAATTCACCAACCAGCCCCTTTACATCTTAATTAACATAAATAAGTCTAATTATTCTATTAATCTATACACAAACAAAGATTGAAGAATTTGCAGTTTTAGGGGGAGATCTGATCTGACTGGCTTGCTGTTTGCTACTTACTTTGTGGCAATAGTGCTCGCAAACCTGAACCTACGGAGTATTATCACCTGAATCTACAACTCCTCTCAGCTTTTCCACATCGTTTCACCGTCCTGCCCACAACTTTATTGTTTTGGTTCCCTCTCACTGCTCTCATAACGCCATGTTCTGACGCGGCAGGCAGCCATTTTCAGCAAATAGGCTCTGAAAACCCACATCACCTGCTCAGCAATGAACGTTTAGCGTAACGGGTGAACATAGTGGAGCATTTAGCAGCTAAAGAACCAGATATTTCCCTCAGGAGCTGGTAGAGACAAAAATAGAGCGATTATTGGACTTACATTCACCAGGTGGACCGAAACATGACATCAGATGAATGATAATGTTGTAACTGCTGGATTATTAAATAAGTAACTTTTTGCTTATATCAACTTAAAAGGTGATGATAATCCAATATAACACTCTGAAAGGGGCTACACTTTGCCTCATGCACCCCGTCCACTTCTGGTTCGGGGCTGTTTTTCATGGCTTTGGCTTGATCCCTTACTTCCAGTGAAGGGGAATCTTAGTGCTAAAGCAAACACATTTTGACAGTAGTGGGCTTCCAGCTTTGTGGCAACAATTTGAGGAATACCCAAGCAACCCGATAATGCACCCATGCACACAATCGCACGTGTAAAGAAATTATTTTTCCCAGTTTTGGTGTGGAAGAACTTGAGTGGCCTGCACAGCGCCTGGACCTCAACCCCATCCAACACCTTTTAGATGAACTGGAAGGTTGACTGGGAGCCAGGCCTTATCATCCAGTATCACTGATGTTTTTATGACTAAATGGGGGCAAATCCCTGCAGCCAGATCGCAAAATTTTATGAAGAGCCTTCCTAGAAGAGTGGGGGTGGTTATAGCAACAGATAATGCCCATGCTTTTGGAGTAAGATGTTCAGGACTCCCATATGGGTGCAATTTTCAGCGATGCAGTGTATTTTTACATTGTGGTACTGCTATTTTTATTCAAGTAAGGGGTCTGAGCACGTTTTCCCGCTAACAGCGAGACTCGTGTGTTTTAATGAGTGTTAATAGCAGCTGATTCCTAATAGACGTGAAGCTGATTAAAACAATGTTGGCTCTCACAGGCAAAGTGTTACTATTGCTGAGAGAGGGAGAGAGAGAGGCAGAGAAGCAGAAGGGGAGATACACTGTGCAGCAAAAGTTCACTGATAATCAGCATCGCTTATCACTGGCAGTGAGAGAGAGCGTGAATGCCCTGAATGCTGATGAGTCAAATTGTTAGTGACATCAGCGAGTGCGCACATACCCACACTGGGTGAAACAGAAACTAAAACAGTGCTATACAGTTAATATATAGGCTACAGAGTAATTACTGCTGTACAGGATTCACTCTTTTACTGCAGTGGTTCTGAACCCTTGATGTCAGATATACCTGCACGGCCCTGTTAGAGGAACTCAAGTATCAGCACTGCCATTTAATTCAACATTTCTGCATTAACTATATAACTATTTCAAACTGTTAATCTATTACTTTTAGCTACTGTATTCACCATTTATCCATTAGACTACTTTTAGCTAACGTTTGCTGACTATGATTTGAATAAAACATAATAATTCACCTTTAACCAACAAGTCTTGAGAATGTGTGAAAATCAAATCATATTTTTTTAATTAGTTGTACCCGTGGCAAGTACCCACTGACAATTGCAGATGCACCCACTGGGAACAAGTAGGCCTACCACTGTTCAAACTGTATATATAATGCTAAAATGTACCTGCTTACGCTTTTCTATAAATTGACCATCACAAGCTCAGTGTAAATGCCTGTGTGGGCTTGTTGTATAATGGTGTCTAATCTGTATAATCATGCAGTCATATGTACAGTATGTGTGCGTGTGTGTGAGCGAGAGAGAGTTCATGTGTGCTCATGGGTTTGACTGGTACAGAAAAAGTGTGATTCATGGCTGACTCACACACTTAACTCCCACAGAGGCACACTTTTCACAACAGCAGGCGAGCCAAACTCCCACTAACACCCTCTTTCTCTCTGTCACACACACACGTCTAATAAAACTAGATTTTGCGGTGACTTCTGGGATGTTTCGAGAGTCCTATAAAAGATCTAGCCCTCCCAGTCGGGTTATGTGGCATCTGTTCCAAGCACTATGAAGCTTCGGTAACAATAAAACTTCACTGTGTTCCTGGGATTTGTAAATGCAAGATGTTAGAAGCCCGGCAGCTATCAGAAGTGAGTTTATGGCCAGAAGTTTGCCAGTTTAAATCCCAGTGTCATCTCCATTAATAACAGTTATGTGTTGCTTTTGGTCTGTTTTTTCTTGCAGTTCCTCATTGTAAATATCCGTGTTTACTGTAAGTGTTGCTCTCTGACTCTTCTCGCTGACCTCAACTACAAAGCCGTCTGTATTACTTTTCTCTCCCTATTAGTCTCCCTGTCAGTCTTATTCTAATATGATTAGGCAAGCTAAAAACAAAAAAGCACAGGCCTCATGCATGAAAAGTCAGTAGAAGGAGGCAATCGAGGCAAGAATGCTGCCCCATGTAATGCTAAAGCAAAGAAAGCTTCCCTTGAGTCAGACATTTTCTCCTTGGAAATTTGCATTTTTTAGTAAACAAAAAAAAACAATCTGTGTCAAGCAGGATTATATCCAGGTGCCTGTAAATCTCCGTTCCCATCTGGACAACTGGAAAACTAAAATTTTCAATTAAGCTTGTAATGGGATACAATTATTTAAATGCACATTACATTTTTGAGGTAAAAATATCCCAGTTAAAATTGGCTTATGGTTTATTAAAAAAAAAAATGTACAAAACAAACCATATTTTTTTAATCATGCAATGGCAAAAACATATATTTTTGCATTTTGCAGTTCCTTTGGCAAATAACAACAAACAAATGATTATTTGTAATGTATAAAATGTTGCGAACCTGCAGAAAATTATCACCCAACTCTGCAGTTCTTTAAGCTAATTGTTTCTGGTTCCAAGCGGCAACCTTGGCTGAAAGATGAAGCAAAAGCGAAGTGCTAAAAACTGCAGTTCCTCAAACGGCCACACGAGGCTGGCTCCAAAAGTGAGTCAATCTCCGTAAGCCCCCATATTAAAACTTTACAGCAGAAATGAAGATGTTTACTGGTAATAAGGCATGTATTTAAATTATATCAAGGCTTATGCATGAAGAGCATGGCCACATTGATTAACCGGTGGCTGCCATTACAGGCGACTGGTTCTTGTAACCAGGCTTCATTCAGCCCGCCTCAGCTCTACCCACGCTCCACGTCTTTGCCCATTTTTGGATTATCTGGGAATAAAGTGGAGCATTCAGCCAGATGTTTCCCTCAGGAGCTGGTAGAGACCAATAATAGAGCTAAAACAGAATGAATATTGGACTTACATTTGCCAGGTGGCCAGAAACGTGATTCCAAATGAATGATAATGGTGCTCCCTGTCTGCTGGATGTGTAAATACGCAATTGACTGTTCCCTCCAGTCCTCACCAGTTGATAATACGTGAATACGTGTAGAAGACATGGAAATAAAGAAACATTGTTCTTGTATTGCAGTGTAGAGCTATTGTGAGTCTAATAATGATAAAGTGACTGTTACCTTGAATCTAATATTTCTACCTGCTGTGGTAGCATAGGGTTTAAAATAAGAACATCATTAAACATGACATTAACTAAAAAAACACTGAGCCTGCTACAGTATGTAAATGTACTAACCCAAAGTGGTATCATGCTGGAGTGACTTTTACAGGTCTGGACTCTTTGGCCTTTGTGTGACCGACACAGTTCAAACCTAATTCCCCTACGCACCACTTTGTTTGCTCAGTGCGCACAAATGAAGCAACAAACACAGCTTCTCTGATGCAAACTGGCGAATGTTTTAAGTAATCTAAATCCTTATTAATGTAATCATGTGTCACCTTAAAGTCTGAAAAAATCAAGCCCACAAACCCCAAATTCCTCTGATCCTAAAGGCTGTGACTATCACTCTGGCAGCTTTCTCTGGTGGCAAGTAGTGTCATCAGATGTGCTCGCATGCTGTCACGGCAATTTCACTGCTGATTTTCAAGTCTAGCAATCAAATTCATGCAAGGATAATGAGGTTGAATTATTCCCAGCTTCCTGCGTGAACATATGATAAAAGGACATAGGGCAAAATTTCCATCATTCCCAGCAATGCACGGGGGCTATCGTATTACTACTGGAGTATACCACTCCCAAATTGTTTTAGTCTCAGACGTGCCAATGCAACACTGTCGCCAAGTCAACAAAGCCCAGACCTTTTGGCCCCAAACGCCTATAGCATATGTGATCTGTATATGTTATTGTATACACACACACACACACACACACACAAATACAGTATATTATGTTTCCCTCTGTCGCCACAGACACACCCAAGAGACCCAGCATGAACCGAATACCACACTAAGGCATGCCACGTGTGTTGTGTGTATATATATATATATATGTATGTAAGTGTATGTGTGTGTATGTGTGTGAGCGCAAATGTCCGAGGACCCGGGTGGAGCCTTCTGTTCAGAGCGGGTGTGTGTGTGTCTGTCAGCTGTTCTGCACAGACGGTCTGAGACGAACAACTCACCATCCACCCACACACTGACTACACACACACACACACACACACACGCAGGGGCACATATAAACACATGCCATATGCACATGACCAACCCATCCAATGATGAGGTTCTGAGAAACTGACACAGTACATCATGTAAATAAATCTTTGTCACGATTTCCATTTGCATTTTATTGAAGCGTGTGAGTCAATAGATTCCCTGACCTGCTTTTTATGCATTTAACGGAGCTGCTGAATA